TGCCCGTTATAGAAAATTTGTCATTTATGCTCACCGTTACACCTTCATCAATGACCCTCATAATTGACACTAAAGAAGGGCACGATCGTAGGACCTTGTTCCCTAGACATAGCTATAAATAGTGAGCTCTGTTATCATTGTAAGGGAGAACGGATTTTTTTGGCAAACTGATACTATAATCTACTCAAAGCTCTATACAACTTTATCTTCTTACTTTTTGTTCTTATTATTGTTGCGCCCCAAGGCTTCGCTATCGTAAAAATTATTTATGCTATTTATTCTTCATATCAAGGCTAAGTGTTATATATTTCTTCAATTATTTCATTATTTCAGAATCGAATTAATTCACTTGTCTAGAAACCTCGTATAAATTCAACTATACCATTTTACGGGTAAACAATTTGGCGCCACCGTGGGGCCTAGACAACCATATAATTAAGTTGATCCTTGCCGCTTTTAATAACGTGTTATGATATTTTGTCTTAGCAAAATTGTATGAAATGGCAGATAACGGTGTTAACAACACATAAAATCCGAGATTCGAGGAGACCAGCCTCATCTCGATGATTCAATCAGTGACATTACAATGAGGGGAACGATACCATGCCGGTACACGATAGGCGATACTTGCGACATGTTCGGGAGACAACTCCCGATGATGCTAAAGAAGAGCATGTTGTTGATGCGGTAAGGGTCCTAGAAGAGCAACAAGACGATCATTCTGGGCCATCTCACACGGTAGGATAAGGTTATGACGGAGTTGAAGCAGGCGTTATCGGGGGCTTCCAATAATGTGAATAGACGAGATCCAGTTCCTCCCGGTGTTCCCGCAGATCAAACAACTCGGAGGACCGATAACAGCACCCCGAGGGGCGAAGTTGGCTCCGATGGAGCTGGGGGGAGCCTATCTGGACCCATCAACGAAATGATCCCTTCAAGAATGAAATCTTACGGTTTACGAGAGAAGTGAATGCTCGCATGGACCAAATACATGGTGCACCCCTGGTGCTGAAAGGACCGGACTCAAAGAAGTATACTCAGTTGCCGTACAAACCAAGCGCGACACCGAAATTAATCCTGAATCGATTTTGAAATGCCCGACGTGCCCAAGTATGATGGAATTTTAGACCCTCAGGAGCATATTACCGCCTACACAATGACGGTGAAGGGGAATGATTTAGCTTCTCATGAGATTGAATCTGTTTTGCTGAAAAAGTTCGAAGAGACTCTCACGAGGGGGAGCCTTGACGTGGTATTCACTGTTACCTGAGCATTCCATAGATTTCTTTGAGATGCTCGCGGATTATTTTTTTAAGGCTCATGCCGGGGCCAAAAAGGCGCTGGCCTGAAAGGCTGACATCTTTAGAATTGCACAAGGAGAATCCGAGTTGCTGCGAGAGTTTGTTACCTGATGTGCCGTAGAATTTTGGCACTTTTGATACCAATTACATAGAATTTAGTTCATTTTTCAATGCATTTATAGTTAAATCTTATAAAGTTTTTGGTGTTTTGTAGTGCATAAGACTTGAAGATTCAAACACATGGAAAAGAAGTCAAAAAGCCACAGAAGAGTAGGAATGTTGCAAGTATGTGATCAGTACTATGTAGACCGCATAACCACCGCAAACTGAAGCAACTATTTTTCCAAATGAAGAGAAGATTGTGCGATCCATTATGCGGTCGCATAACACTTCTGCAAGCCGCATAATGCCCGCACAATTGCAATTGAAGAATCTGCGTGGCACTTCTGCGATGGAAAATGCGGCCGTACAATGCAAATGCGGTGGATTTCAGGGATTGAAGATCTGCAAATCCGCGATGAAAATGATGATTATGCGGACTGCATACATGGCCTGCGACCATTATGCGGTCGCAGAAGGTGTCTACAGGGGCATTTTTGTCCAGTTTTGACCCCGACTTTTAGTCCACTATAAATAGCTTTACTAGGGTTTTTGTGGGTCATTAAGTCTGAAAAAGGGACTACATTGAAGGCATTGAGTACACCATTAATTTGGAAGCTTGTGAAGAGAGAATCTTGCACTTTTGTAAGCTTTATGACTCTATTTATTGCTTTGTTTTTGTATTTTAGTATGAGTAGCTAGTTTTAAATACTAAGGTTGTGGACCCTAAATGGGTGTAATGTTAATGAGTGTTTAACATTGAATATGTATATATAATGGTTGGTTGATATTTATTCATTTCTTGTGCTTTATTCATTGTTGGTGGTTTCAAACATTAAATTATTCCATTTTACTCTTGCTTTACTTAGAAAAGTGGTTTGGTAGAAGTGAATATCAAGAACTCAAGACTTTAAACCTTGTTTAATAGAATCGCTTAGGAATAAGTGGGTTCTACTTGGCATAAATTGGTTGTTCTTAATTGTAACACTTTTATATTTGGAAAAATTATAAAGAGAAAATACTACCCAACCATTGAAAAATATTGGGTAGTCATTTAGAAACCATTTGTATATTAAAGGACCTTCCATTAGAAAGATATCATATTAACACCGATAGCATTACATTTCACTAATGGGGACACAACCTTGGTTTCCTTATTCAAATTAATCACATTCTTATAACAAAATAGTTATCTTGTTAAATCACAATTATATCATTCTCTTGTTAAGCTAAAGGAATAGAATTATGACTTAAGTCAAGTTTCACACTGCTCAAGTAGCCTTTTCACACCTATTCGCTGTGGGATTCGGCCCCAACCTTGTTGGATTATTATATTTGACACCGACCGCCTTACACTATTTATTTAAAGTGTAATTTGAGTGTATCAAATTTTGGTGCCGTTGTCGGGGAATACGGTTTTGAAATTACTAATTAGTGTGTACTTTACTTTACGTCTTCTTCTATTCCATCACACTTTGCTTGCTTTGCTTGGTGTTGATAGGAAAACATGGCCGAGTATGACGAAGAAGAGAATCCTTTTGCGGACATAGATGAGTACATTGAGGATACAAATGCTATTGTACCTCCAAGAGTTGATGCTGCTACTTTCAAGGTGGAACACAGTTTAATCCTAATGCTCAAAGCAGAGGGGTTTCTCAGAAATTCCACTGATGATGATCCGATATACCCTAATTCTCTTGTTGGCTTTGATACCATGAAATAAAATAGAGAAAAAGACCTTCAAGAGAATAAATAAATAAAACCATTTTCAAGAGACAAACTCCAGTGAACCCCTTTCCTCCCATTCATTGCCCTTTGAAAGAAGTCAAAATAAAAAAAGAATCAACATCTCAGAAACTTCTTGGGTGTGTGTGCGATGCACAAGCAGAACAACGTCTCAGATGATGCCCTAAGATTGAGGGTGTTCAAGTACTCACTAGCCGGAGAGGCAAGGAAATGGATCCAAAATTTACCTCCAAATTCCATTCATTCTTGGCCTGAAATCGTCCGAGCTTTCCTAGCTAAATGGTTCCCACAAAGCAAGAAGTCTGAGCTCCGAAATAAAATTTTCTTTTTCAAGCAATTACCGGGAGAACATCTACATGAGGCATGGGATCGATTCAAGCTATATTTGGTGAGGTCGCCAAATCATGGTTTTCCAGATTCTATCTTGTTGGAGAAATTCTACACGGGTTTGGATGCTATGAATCAATCTATAACTAAAAATGCAGCTGATGGATCTTTTATGGATAAAACATTTGCGAGGATCACACAAATCCTTGACAAAATGGCAAAACATAACCAAGCTTGGCACTCACAGGACACCACGAGTGGAATTGCATATGGTACTCCTTCCTTGACCAACATGATTAAGAAGAACCAAGAAAGAGATCAAGTAATTGCCGGGCTTGCCACCAACGTCAATGTGCTGACAAAGATGTTCACTAAAAGCCAAACAAAAAGGTGAATGTGGTGGAAGATTCTCAACCCACATCAAATGAGGATTACGAGCAAGAAAATTATGTCAACAACTCTCAAGGAGGTTATCAAAGGCAACCATACCAAGGGTTAGGACAACAAAACCAATGGAGGCCTAACCCCCAAGGGCAAGGCAACCAACAGTGGCAAAATGACCAAGGTAGTTCAAATCAAGGGAATTGGAGTAACAACAACAATAACTTTTGAAATCGGAGTTCAAACCCCTATGTTCCACCAAAGGGGCAATATTCCAACTCTCTGCATTGGAATTAAGGTTCTTCAAGTGATTCCAAGTTGGAAAACATGCTTGAACGAGTATTGCAAAATAAAGACAGGACCGATACTTCAATGAGGAATATGACCGAGCTTGTCAGTTCTCATACCGCATCTATTCAAAAGTTGGAGATGCAAATGAGAGATCTCTCAAGAGAGTAGAATCCGAAGCAAAAGGGCACACTCCCAAGTGACACAATTGCAAACCCAAAAGGTAGTGGGAGCAGTCCAACTTCTCATTGTATGGCAATCACAACTCGGAGTGGGAAAATACTTCAAGGAGAAAATGAACAAGTGGTCGACGTGGAAGATTCTAAACAAGAAGTTGAGGCACAAGTTGAAGTTCCAGTTGTTGTTGAAGCGAAAAAAGTCCCAGAAGAGGTAAAAATTCAAGAAGTGAACCGAGAAGCGGTTAAGGAAAAGGTGAAAGAGGCACCAAAAACTCTAGCACCAATTCCTAGACCTCCTCCTCCTTTTCCTCAAAGACTTGCTAGGAAGGTTGATGATAGCAAACTCGAGAAGTTCTATGACATTCTCAAGCAATTGTCGGTGAATATTCCATTTGTGGAAGCATTTTAAGAGATGCCGGGTTTTGCTAAGTATTTGAAAGACTTGATCACCAAGAAGAAAAGCACCAAGAATGAAGTGGTGAATGTGACTCACTGGGTTAGTTCCATCATAGCAGCAACCACCGTTCAAAAGAAAGAAGACCCGGGAGCTTTTACCATTCCATGCACTATTGGGGCGCGCAATTTTGAAAGAGCTCTTTGTGATAATGGGGATAGCATCAATTTAATGCCCCTTTCTATTTACAATCAAGTGGGGTTAGGTATGCCGCGGCCTACAAGTATGAGGTTACAAAAGGCCGATCGTTCAATAAAGAGACCGGTGAGGATTGTTGATGTTGTTCTTGTGAAAGTGGGAAAGTTCCTCCTCCACGCCAACTTTGTGATCCTTGATTGTGTTGTTGACAAAGAAATCCCTATCATCTTGGGAAGACCATTTCTTGCTACCGGAAGAGAACTTATGGATTCGGAACGATATGAGATCAAGTTCCGAGTTAATGACAAAGAGGTTACCTTTCAAGCAAGTAAGGGTATGAAGTAGCCACATGCATATGAAAGCATCTCAGTCATTGATGTCGTTGATGTGGTAGAAGACGCAATTGAGATGAAGATGGAAGAACAATGCCTTGGTAAGGCGTTGGCGGCTATTTTGGTAAATTTTGATAGTGAAGACATAGAGGGGTACATGGAATCGGTGAATGCATTAGAAGGGCTTGGGTCCTACACTTATGCACCAAAGAAACTTTCTCTTGACTTAGAGAATAGAGTCACTCCTCCCGCCAAGCCTTCAATTATTGAGCCGCCGCAACTTGAGCTCAAGCCACTTCCACCGCACTTGAGGTATAGCGGACATCCGAGGGATTCTCGCCGGAATTTGTGAGCACAAGATACAATTGGAGCAAGAGAGAAAACCAAGTGTGGAGCATCAAAGAAGGTTAAACCCTTCCATGCAATAGGTGGTAAAGAAAGAAATCATCAAATGGTTAGATGCCGGGGTGGTCTACCCCATTGCCGATAGTTCTTGGGTGAGTTCGGTGCAATGTGTGCCAATGAAAGGAGGCATGACCGTGATTCAAAACGACAAAAATGAGCTCATCCCAACGAGAACAGTGACCGGAGGGAGAGTTTGCATGGATTACCAGAAGCTAAACAGTGCTACTTGCAAAGACCATTTCCCTATGCCTTTTATTGATCAAATGCTTGATCGACTAGCGGGAAGGTCATTCTATTGCTTCTTGGATGGATATTTCGGCTATAACCAAATCAACTTCACCTTGGAAGATCAAGAGAAGACAACATTCACATGCCCATATAGTACTTTTGCCTTTAGCCGTATGCCATTGGGATATGCAACGCCTCAGCTACTTTCCAAAGGTGCATGACGTCAATCTTCTCAGACATGGTGGAAGATTTCTTAGAGGTGTTTGTGGATGACTTCTCTGTAGTGGGTGATTCCTTTGAGCATTGTCTTGACAACCTTAGACAAGTGCTCAAAAGATGTGAAGAAACAAACCTTGTGCTAAACTGGGAGAAATGCCACTTCATAGTGGACGAGGGCATTGTTTTGAGCCACAAAATTTCCAAACAAGGCATAGAGGTTGACCAGGCAAAGATCGAAATCATTTCCACGCTTCCTCCGCCGACTTCAGTAAAAGGTATCCGAAGCTTTTTTAGGAAGGCCGGCTTCAATAGGCGTTTTATCAAGGACTTCTCAAAAATTGCAAATCCCATGTGCAAGCTCCTTGAAAAAGATGCAAAGTTTGTATTTGATGAGAAGTGTCTAAAGGCTTTCGAGGAATTGAAAGAAACACCTATTATTGTCACACCCGATTGGTCTCTTCCATTTGAACTCATGTGTGACGCTAGTAGTGTAGCTATTGGGGCAGTGCTTGGTCAATGACATAACAAAATCCTTCACCCTGTTTACTATGCAAGCAAGATACTCAATGGAGCTCAAATGAATTATGTTGTGACTGAGCTAGAACTTCTCGCCATTGTCTATGCTTTTGAAAAGTTTCGGGCTTATTTGTTCGGGTCCAAAGTGATAGTTTACACCGATCATGCTGCTCTTCGCTATCTTACGGCGAAGAAGGAAGCCAAACCAAGATTAATTCGGTGGGTCCTTTTGTTGCAAGAATTTGACTTCGAAGTCAAGGATCGGAAAAAAAAATCAAGTTGCAGATCACCTATCTAGGCTTGAAGAAGTAGGGAGACCAAAAGAAGACCTTGAAATCAATGATTCCTTTCCAGATGAGCACATATTGGCATTGTCTAGCACATTCACTCCTTGGTATGCCGACATCGCTAACTTTTTGGTTAGTGACCTTGTTCCCGATGGATTGGAGACTTACCAAAAGAAAAAGTTCTTGCGGGAATGTAGGCAATACTATAGGGAGGAACCCTTTTGGTTCCAAATTTGTGCTGACAACATCATTCGACGATGTGTTCCGGAAGATGAGGTAGTGCTAATTCTCAAGGCATTCCATGATTCTCCAGTCGGGGGTCATCATGGAGGAAACCGGACGGCTGCAAAGGTGCTTGAATGTGGCTACTATTGGCCATCGATCTACCAAGATGCAAATCAAATAGTCAAGTCATGCGATCAATGTCAAAGACAAGGGTCAATATCTAAAAGATATGAGATGCCTAAGAATTTTGTAATAGAGGTCGAGATCTTTGATGTGTGGGGGATAGACATCATAGGCCCTTCCGTGAGCTCTTATAGCATGACCTACATCTTGGTGGCTGTGGACTACGTCTCCAAATGGGCCGAGGCAATCTCCTTGCCCAACAATGAAGCAAGGAGTGTGACTGCATTCTTGAAGAAGAACATATTCACGCAGTTTGGTACCCCCAGGGCCATCCTTAGTGATGGTAGTTCTCACTTTTGCAACAAGGCTTTCACCGGGCTGCTGGAAAAGTATGGCGTAAAGCACAAGGTGGACACACCTTATCATCCTTAGTCGATTGGTCAGGTTGAAGTCTCTAATAGGGAAACCAAAAACATCCTAGCAAAGACTATCAATGCAAATAGAACTGACTGGTCAACAAAACTGGATGATGCGTTATGGGCATATCGCACGGCATTTAAGACTCCCATTAGCACCTCACCGTACCGGTTGGTTCTTGGTAAGGTGTGTCACTTGCCAGTGGAGCTTGAACACAAAGCCATGTGGGCATTGAAGAAGTTGAATCTTGACTAGGCCGAAGCTGCTAACTTGAGAATGACACAACTCTATGGGATGGAGGAATTTTGCCTCCATGCCTATTGGAGTGCAGCCATGTATAAGGAGAGAATGAAGTTTGTCCATGAAAAGAAGATCTTGAAGCGGGAATTCAATTCCGGTTTGGTCTTACTCTTCAACTCAAGACTCAAGTTGTTTCCAGGCAAACTCAAATCCAAATGGTCTGGCCCGTTCAAAGTTGTGAGCGTGTCCCCTATGGTGCTATTGAATTGGAGTCGGAAGATGGAACTCGAACTTTCAAAGTGAATGGCAACGAGTCAAGCATTACCTTGGTACCACATGAGAAAGGCATTTGATAGAACAATTCTCTTTAAAGGATAGTCCAACAACAGCCCCCCCCCCCCCCACCCACCACTGAATAGCCCAAATAGGGTCAACATCGTTATGCCGCGATGTTAAATCAATCGCTTCTAGGGAGGCAACCCATGTTTGGTAACACTCTTATATTAGTTTTTCATTTATGTAGGTTTAGTTGATAGTGTTGAGCAGGTTGACGTGTGTGTTAGAATGCAGGTAGTCCAAAATATCATGAACAAGGTGCTAGTGCTGAGGAAAATGAAGGAAAAAAAGGTCCATGGTTTGCGGCAACTATGCGGTCGCATAATGAATTTGCGAACCGCATAGTCATCGCAGACACATGCAGAAAATTGGAAAATTGGGTCTTCAAAAATGCGGTAAGATTTCCATTTCTGCGGCCCGCATAACAACATTGTGACCACAGAACGCGTCACAAAGTAAGGTTGGGTAACCTAGTCATTAATCTATCGCAAAACACATGTGCGACCGCATAATGTGTTATGCGATGGACTTACCCGCAGCAAAATACACAGGTACAAAAACCCTAACACCTTTCATATATTAGTCACACCCTCACTCTCATCACACGCAAGCACTGATACACGATCAAAAGCAAAAACAAAAAAAAAACAAGGAAAGAAAAGAGAAAAGATCAAAAACACACACAATCACACGAAGAGGATCGAACTTGCATAGAGTACTCACCTCGTTCACATTATCTTGCTCAGACATCTGGCATGATTCTTTTCCCCCTTTCTCGTGACTGTATTCCATCTTTCTTCCTCATTTCTGAGTTCCCATAGTCATTTCCCTTGATTCCCCATTTCCCTCTGATTAATATTGATATTAGGGTGAGGAAATTAGTTGAGGGTAGGTGTGTATTGAGGTTGTGTGGCATGATAGGAATTGTTTGAACTCATTTCCTCCCCTTTCCTCTCAAAACTTTGATATGGGTATCTGGGTGGGAATTTGAGGTGAACATTTGTGATTGAGGTGAGCGTTTTTGAGTGAGGTGAGAATGATTTAACTAAAGAAGAGGATCTTTGCGGACCGGATAATTGGTTTACGGTCCGCAAAGTCGTCGCAAATAGAAATCTAGGTGTCCTGATGACAAGTGGGTATGCGATCGCAAACCATTTTTGCGGATTGCATAGTTTTCGCAGACAGAGTCAGTTAAATTGCCTAATTAATGAGCGGAAATGCGACCAATTTGCGATCGCATAACTTAGTCTACGGCCCATTTTGTGATCGTATAATTATTTTGCCTTCTGGGTATTGTAAATCTGTGATGGGTTTGCGGTTCGCATAACCCATCACAAAAGTTACTTTCTTCATTCAATTTTTCTCAATGTGATTCCTATTCTATTTCACTCACTCACACACTGTTTCATTAACAGGAATGGCACCAAAAAAGTTTCTTTCAACGCGATCACCGCCCGCTCGTGGAAGGAAACGGGCTGTTGCTTTGAGCCAACAAACACAACAGTCCAAACGTTGATGGCCTTAGAAAAACCACAGCACTTCTGAGCACTCCTCCCAGTCTGAAGAGGAGGAGGCACAGAGTGACCTCAGGCCATCATTTGACCTACAGGCTGAGTCACGATGGAAGATTGGGGAGGATCTAAGTCTCAGATTTGGAGTCACAGGCTCCATGAACTTGTACAAAGAAGGTCTAACAAAGAGAAAGATTCTTAAGGAGAAGCAGTTGAGTCTAAACGGTCTGAAGGAGTGTATATAGTCAAAATCATGTGTCCTCGATTTTGTAGGCTCGAGGGGCGCATCGAGAATAAGTTCAATATGGACCGAGCTCGAGCCCAAAGGTAGAATATGAAACTCAAAGATCAAAATGCTCGATGAACACCGAGGCCGAGTATGGCCAACCTCGAGATAATATTGTTATGATTTTATAACAGAAAGAGCGAGATTCCCGCAAAGGCCCTAAGATCACGGCGTAAATTCCAGAATGGATTTGTACTAGGCGGTTAGACAGCTGTATAATAAGATTCCCTACTACAATTAGAATTGTACCTTATTTAGGGTTCCCCTACTATATAAACGGGGCCCCAATCATTTGTAACGCATCATTCAATCATTGATAAGAGAATATACATTTTCACTTTTTTGCCTACTGTTCATTTGAATCAACTTATCATTTTTTTATTGTTCTTGTTCATTTACCTCGAGGTCGCCTTAGCCCGAGGTCGAGACAAGCTTATACACCGGTTTGATTTATCTTACTCTTTAATTTGTACACTTGATTCCTTATTTATCAGTTAGTATTGGATTAAATCACATCTCTTTAAAACCACAATACAAGTTTAATTGTTACTCGGATTTT